GCATGGAGCCTGATGTGGGGCTTGATCCCACAACCCTGGGATCATGACCTGAGCCGAAATCAAGAGTTGGACACTCAACCAATGGAGCCATCCAGCTGCCCCAGGAAAATCCAAGTTCTAAGAAGGCTCTCACATAGAGCCTAAAACACACGTAAGATAACACCTATTAGCTCCATATTGTGAACATTCTAGGATCTGGACGTACAACCTAGGGGGATGGAAAAACCACGGCGAGGAGTATGTGTCCAAAGGGAAAACCCAGCACTGTTGCATTTCTTAGAACCACCCCTCCCCAATATGGTCTTTTTGGTGCCGCTTCCTAAATGCCTGCTTTATAACGGCAAGCGGCTGCAAGAGGAGGCCATGCCCTCACCTCCAACTCCTTCAGCTTCAGCTCCTCCACCTGCTGGAGCAGCGCCTCAGCCTGGAGTTTGCCCTCCAACCGCCTCTTCTCCTCTTCTGCTTTCATCCGCTCCAGTGCTTCCCTTCGGGCCCTTTCATATTCATTTTCATACCGTTTGTTCTCTTCCTCTTGGGTGGCTTCTTGCTACACGGGGTCAGATGAACACAGGAGGTCAGAATCTGTCACATAGCCAGCAAAGACCCAGCTCCCCGCCGCTGTTCCTCATTCCAACGTGTCTACAACAGAGGAGGTCATGCCACTTTTCAGCTGCGTGACCCTGGGTGAGGGTGCGTCTTCCCCGGCTCTGTTCTCACAGTGGGAACCATGGAGTGATCCTTCCCTCAGAGGTGATGCTGGGGAAGTACTCAGCACGGTGCCCGGCACAGAGGAGGGGCTCAACAATGTCAGGATTCCTTCCCTTCCAAAAGTCTCCCCAATGAACCCAGAGGCAAAGCTGTGGGTTCACGGAGGTGTGGACTTTTGTCCCCAGAGGTGCTGCTGTCAGCCCGGGTTGAGAGTTTATGATGCGTGCTACATCAAAAGAGACTGCCGGCAGCAAGAGCGACCTTTTTTTTTTTTTTTTTTTTTTTTTTTTAAATTTTTTTTTTTCCAACGTTTTTATTTATTTTTGGGACAGAGAGAGACAGAGCATGAACAGGGGAGGGGCAGAGAGAGAGGGAGACACAGAATCGGAAACAGGCTCCAAGCTCTGAGCCATCAGCCCAGAGCCTGACGCGGGGCTCGAACTCACGGTCCGCGAGATCGTGACCTGGCTGAAGCCGGACGCTTAACCGACTGCGCCACCCAGGCGCCCCAAGAGCGACCTTTAAGATGCACCTTCCACCTGCCAGTGGCTGGCCACTGGTGTTAATTCTGCCCTGGGGATGATCGGAAAGGATTCTCGTACATGTAGGAGCAACAGACGTCTGCTTTTAACGTGTTAAAGTTAACTGAGATAAAGTCTGTTCCTGGACTGGACTCATTAACATCCAGAACAAGAAAACTTGAGAGACCTGGAGTCACAGCACTTGCACCATGCCATGTAGGACTATTTCCAGAGTCATATACCACACCTGTTTTTTTTCTTCTTTCTGCATTTTCCAAGAGTTTATCACGTGCTCCTTGTGAAGGGCTGATTCAATCTGAGGGTGAGAAGGCAGAGAATGTTCATTTCCTCACTGGTTCATCCGACAGATGGATGCTGCAGAGCACAGTGCTACGCCCTGGCAGGTGACCAGAAGTTCCCTAGGCAAGGACTCAGAGGGGCCCAGGTATCTTACAAGGGAGCACAAGATGACCCCAACATATACATTTGGAACGCAACTCAGTTAGTAAACCAAAGGACCAGGCAGTTTGAAACAGATCTAAGGAGTTGTAACAAAGGAACACAAACTTTTCTCCCAGTACCCTGGGGGTTGTGCAGGGGCAGGTCAGCAGACACTGGAATGGAAATATGATCTCAGAGGCCACCCCTGGTTGGTCTGAAGCATGCCAGGGCCCAGATCAGCAGGAGCTGGGTGAGGCCCAGACTCAGCCTTTTGCCTGGCTCCTCGAAACGTCCTCTGCGAAGCGGTGGCTGTATAAACATGTACTCCCCGCAGCAACAGATGTAACACATTTGGGGTTATTATTTTTTTTTTTTTATTTTTTTTAACGTTTATTTATTTTTGAGACAGAGAGAAACAGAGCATGAACGGGGGAGGGGCAGAGAGAGAGGGAGACACAGAATCCGAAACAGGCTCCAGGCTCTGAGCTGTCAGCACAGAGCCCGACGCGGGGCTCGAACTCACGGAACGCGAGATCGTGACCTGAGCCGATGTCGGACGCTTAACCGACTGAGCCACCCAGGTGCCCCACATTTGGGGTTATTAAGAAGAGATACGGGTTTAGCGAATCTGTTGGATCAGAAAATGAACTGGAACTCTATCCAAAAGCTTTTGTTTGGGAAATTGTTTATAAAAATTTTTAATCTCTTTCTCAACTTACAAATGTAAACATCCGCAACTAACTTGAGTGTTCTAAATAAACATTTCTGAGTAAAAGACTTTGGAGCACCCACCTAAACGCTCAAATGGCCAGGGAAAGGAGACCTCCCGTGGCTTAGTGCTAACTGCACAAGGCTCAAAAGCACCAAATTGTTCTATTACTTAGTGGCTGGCAATTTTCTAAATATAATTACAAATAAATTAATGCCACCAAACATATACGCAAAATTTAAGTTAAAATACATCAATGAAATCATCACGGATCATCTTCCTCTAGCCCCGTCTCCACAGAATGATGCCACCCAAGCCAGACCGCCCCCCACCTGCCCCAGGATCTTGCATATTTGTCCTCCTTTCTCCTGCCACCCTGTTCTGGTCTCCGCCGTCACTGCCCTGCTCACCTCAACACTGCTGCCAAAGCTACTGCTCCCTGAAATGTGGCCAGGGTGCCGCCACAGCCCTGCTTAAAATCATCCAGGTGCTCCCCAGCGCTTCCAGGAGAAGGCCACACAGGGCTGGCTGGGGTCCAGGCCCACGTGCCTCACCAGCCTCAACTCTTGCAGCCCCTGCTCGCCATATGACATCACAAACTCTCAGCCACTCGTCACTCCCTAGATGCACTCTGCTCTCGTGACTCCGGCCTGCTCCTTGCTCAGCTGCCTCAATCTAGAATGTCCTTTCCTCACCTTTACACCATCAAGTTAACACCCAAGTCCTTCCAGACTCCTCCATCCCTGCAACTCCTGAGATGCCGCTCTGACCCACAACTGAGCTGGGGGCACTGCCCCAAATGCCCATCCTCCTGGGCCTTCCCAGCCTACTGCAACCCACACTGGACCGCAAGTTCCTAAGAAGGGGGGACCCCAGCTAATCTCCACGTGCCCAGGTGCTGGACCATGTGGCAAATGTTCAATAAGTATTGGCTGAACACCCAAGAAACCAGATCTGCATGTGGCATCGTTCAGGTGGCCGGGGTGTTCTCTGTTCCACCCCAGTAAGAGATGCAAGTTCAAAAACAAGAAGAGAAACATGATTTTATCTACTTAGGCAAAGCAAAGGATCTCGCTGGTTTTCACCTCTCGAAGTTTGGGGTTGTTCTTCTTCCAGTGTTCATACAGAAGCTGTTCGGCAATCTGTCAAAGAAACACAAAGAGGGAAGCCTGATGTCACTTTTCAAATTCATTCACATTTTGGATAACCCACAGTGGCGGTCACCTGAGGCGGAGAGCCCCTCGGCTGGCACGCTGTCACTGCGCCTGCCCTCCGGACCTACCGCCTGCCTTGCATCCCTGGCTCTGGGAGACACCAGAGTGGAACCAGACAGCTCTGACAAATGACTCCCACAGTGGTGATGGAAGGGCGCCAAGATCTGATGCTACAGATGGGTCCCAGATGTGACAATCTGCTTCAAAATATACAGCAGGCTTAAAAACACAGACTGGGGCTCACCATTCCCCACAGCTACTTGGAAGATCAAACAGACCAGCGCGCAGCCTGCTGGGGCCACAGGACTGATATAAAGACAAAGGACTCGGATGTAATGACCTGAGGTGACTCGTGCAAAACACACGTGGAGAACAACGTAGCACAAAGCACCTCGCCCTGCAGGCTCTGGAGTTTACCGTTGTCTCATCAGACCAGTGTGCCCAGGGACCCCATGTGTGTGTCACTGACGGGCTGGGGACGCTCCTGCTCCGTAGGCTCCAGAAGGGCTAGGAGGAGTTACCAGTTTCCTTTGCTCTTCTCGGGCCGACTTGAGATCGCCATGCCGCTCTCGGAGTCTGCCTTCCCGCGCGTCCATGTTTAGCCTTAGCTCCTCCAGTTGTCTGGCCAGCAGGGCCTGCTCCTCCAGCAGCAGCTGCCTCAGTCTCTCCCGCCTGGCTTCCAGCTGCTTCCGCTTCTCCTCCTTCAGCTTCTCACGCTGATAGGCATGCATGCTGGGTGAGAAGGAGCCCTCCCCATGTCAGTCACGCTACAGCCACACGTGGCACACTCACTGCCGTGGGTAAGAGAGGCTGAGGTGGACATGACGCGGTGACACGGTAAAGTGTCTTCCGGCTAAAGTGAAGACAGCGGGTCACAGACCACCGTGCACGACAGAATCTTGCTTTTGCCATAAGAAAATGTACATTGGGGGCACCTGGGTGGCTCAGTCAGTTGAGCGTCCAACTTTG